ACAAAAGATCTGAACCCTATTTTATAACTACTCTTATTCTTCTAGTGTTCATAGAGTTTTCAAAGGCCTGTTATTTAAGAAGTGGATGCCAATTCTGTTTCCAAGTCTGTCTTGCTCTGGGAGTTCTACCAAACCCTGTCTACCATGAGTAACACTTAGGGCATTTGACACACCACTGACACACCTTTCAGTATCACAGTAACCCCAAGGTATCTCAGTACAGCAAACTGACAAGTGCTATACCATTTAGAACAATGTTCTCCCCAAACACAATTAACATCAGCTTACACTCTATTGTTAACAAAATAAAATACAACCAAACTGTTTACACCCAACTTTCAACTAAATCAAAACAACCTTCTCTCCAGAAACCAACTGCTTCACACAGGAGCCTCCAAACATACACATACAACTTAAAGTCACTAAGAGACAGTTAAAAGAATCCACCGTTATTAAAATGAACATGAAACTCCCACCCCTACCATCATTCTTCTAGAACTTATCCCATACCCATATTTATCTTCTAACCCCTCTTAGTTCTTTCCCAACTTTTAAAGGCTACTGCTGTCTCTTGCTTTCACTCGATCTTGATATATGTCTTCTTCCATACTGTTTTTAACAATCGGTATCTTTTTGACTTTATATTGAAGATAGCATACTTGTGACCCCTAAAGGCTCAATTCTTCCTCTCTCCAAGAGTGATGGCTATTCTGATTTCCAACACAAAGATTAACTTTGTCTTTTTTGTCTAACTTCTTTCGTCCAACATTTTTTATGGTAGATCATTGATCTCAATTAATTTACAGAATTCTGTTGTTTGACTATATCATAATGTATTTATCTCTTGGTGAAAGGAACTCTGATGGCATAGTGCTGTTATAGTGGACTGCTAGTGAAAAAGCCAGTGGTTTGAAGCCACCAGTTGCTCCAAAGGAGTAAGATGGTAATTCTCCTCCCATAAAGATTTACAACCTCAGAATCCCCATGGAGGGTTACCTTGTGCCAGGAGTAACTTGACAGCAGTGGGTTTGAGGCATTTTTCTTCTAATTTCTTCTGTAAAGATTAATATCCTTGAAGACCTGATTGAAAGTTGCTATGGATTGGGGGAAAAACTGGCTCAATGTCAGTGGGTTCAGTTTGATAGATGGGAATGTTGATGGCCATTTAATTTACAAAGTTTCCAGTTTGGAGCTACTAAGAACATTCTATTTCAGGTATTTTGGAGAACTCAATACAGATTTATTTAAGTACAGATCGAGGATGTGAGTGATTGGTTCATGTTATATGTGTATGCTTAACTTGGATGGTTTTCTAAAGAGGTTATATCATCACATCCAGCCACACCATCCTCAACAATGTACAAGGTCTTCTCAACAGAACCAGACCTAGAACCAAGATGTCAGGTTTCAAGTCCAGTGATTTTTACACCCAGTAAACTCTATATACCCTACTAGACTTGATACCCTCAACTTTGTTTGTTTGTTTGTTTGTTTGTTTGTAGCCTCACAACATGCATAGAAATCTAGTTGTTATTCTTCCCAGAATATTTTGCCTTAAAAAGGGTCAATAGAGAATTAAAATAATGAACCTAATTGTGAGATTTACAGGCTCCATAAATGACCATTCAGTAGGAAGGAACAGAAAGAGAGGAAAATTATTTCAGTAAGGAATAACTGCTCAACAGCATCACTCAACTCCCTGATGACTGCCTGATCTGAATAGAGTCATCCTGGTGATACATAATAGAAAGCAGAAAGCTCATCTTTTCTCATGTGAACTTCAGGGCAAACACATTGGAAAGCTATTAAACCCTCACTTCTCTAAATTGATGCATAGGAACCATTTCAGGGATGACTTTGTGAAAGGCGGCACCAAATGGAAGTCTAAGAAGTCAAAGTAAACTACAACTTTTCTATATCTCAACCCAGGAGACCATGGACAGAGATCTGTTATTGCTTTTGTGAAGGACTTCTGTGCTTAAGCCATGCTTACAGAAAGTTACGGGGAAAGACGGAAATTAAAATCAAGCCTGAGTTCTCTGGGTGTCAGTTCAAATGTACTTCTGTTCCTCATATCTGTGCTGTAGCTACAGAGCATTATATTTTTTTTTATTGTTAGATACTTGTAACTGACCATGATCTTATGCCTGTATTTGAATGCAGCTGAAGTTGAGGATACTAATTAATTGTGAAACACTCCACTACTTGAATCGAAGGTCTCTTGAGCCTAATGTGCAAATTTATGTAAAAACAATGTGAAAATTAGAAATGCACTGGCACATTTTTTTTAACCAGAATTGTAGCACTCTGTCTAGTCAAACAGACTGCTCATTTGCAAGTTGTCTATATGCAAAGCATTCTGCCCCTGGGAGCCTAAAATCTCCTTTGCAAGTCATCTGAAATTTAAAAAAAAACAACAAAAAAAACACACCAAAACTTTGTTCTGAACCTGCTCAATGTTCTCTCTTCAGTTTCTTTCTTTCTTTTTTTTTTCCACTTCCAGGAGTGTAGGCAGAAGGCTTAGTATGGCTTTAACCTGACAAAGCAGTAAATAAGCATGGATCCAGACATGATGGCCACATAGAAAAACTCATCTGGCTTAGGGGAAAAATACGCCATCTTGAGCACTATGTGTTGGCTTTGCACAGTAGCCCTTCAAAAATTTTAAGGAAATGTCAATATTTAAACCCTTCTTCTTAACCTCTATGACTCTAATTTAAAAAAAAAGGGGGACGACATGACATAAAATAGACTCTCTGTCATTATGTCCTATGCTATCTAACATTTATGTAATGCCTGAGGTCAATATAAGTTAAGGCAGCCATTGAGGAAAACGATAAACTGTTTATGGGCTACACATTGCTTTTATGCAGTCAGCCACTCCAGGGGGGGAAAAGGTGCGGCACTGACAGGTGCCAAGGTGCAACAGCGGGGGAGCATTTGGCTCAGCTGCCCTGGGGTTTGTTGGCACCCAATCAAAGTGGGTCAGAGGTCAGTTCCAGAAGACCATGGGTCAGCAGGGTGGGACTGAGTTCAGCACACATCAAAAAATGGGAGAAGCGACTCCTTGGGGGAATTAGCTAATGATTGAGCTGTTTATGGGTGGGGAGGATGAGGAAAGTCTAGAGACGTTGCCTGAAATTGGCAGACAGCCAAATCATGGTAAATTACCCATGTAAGATAAGGCAGACAGTGGAGTGTGACAGTTGGAGAGGCACCCTCTTGGGAGAGGAAATGCACAACAACAATGAGTTTGAATCACTGTTTCCCTTTAAGATTTTCCCTAGGAGTTCCATCCCAGATTAAAGGGACATTCCTAGGCCCCTCAACTGCCTAGATACTGAATTCAGTTTATCCTGTACTCAATGGTCTTCTCCCTTGCCCACAGCTCTCGCTCAGTCCTTCCATGGCCCGTTACTTTTCCCATCGCAAGTTGTTCTGGAAATGCTGGTTTTCAATGGTGATCAGTAAATTTCATTTTCACCAGCCTAGATTGTCAGCCTGACACTAGGAAGGGAATGTTTAGGTACTCAAAGTGTGGTCCCTGGGTCAAATGTCATCATTATTACCTGGAACATTGTTGGAGATGTAGGTGACCAACCTCTAGACTTACTGAATCAGAATCTACATCTTAACGAGATCCCCAGGGTATGATGTTATAGATCTTGCATTTTGAGGAGCTCTGTTTTCAGGTTTTACACTGAGACTCCATGGAATTTCCACATCAAATAAGCTACTTTCTGGCAATTTTCAGTGATGTGACGTGCACTTTTTTACAGGTATTTGCTAAGAAATCTGAAATACATCTTTTAAATGCCTTTGTAAACAAGCCTTTATTTATAAAATGTGAATGAGAATGCTACCTAATTTAAAAATGATTAAATAAGGGATTAGAATTCTTTTGTAAAAAATGTGATTCATGATAGAAACATTTCGTTTTACTCTGATGATGTGGTCTGCCTGAACTGGGTTATAAATACCTAAGAATTGGGATAATCTCCTCTCATTTTTTTTATCTTCCTTTTACACTCAAGTACAATGTTCTGCCCCTTGTAAAGTTGACTAACATTTACAAAATTAAACTCCTCTTAAGGGCTCCTTTACTAAAAGAAATTTGTAATTTCAATCATCTACTCTTAAGCCCAAAAAGATCCTGTCACTTTGACCTAATCCTGTAAAGTTGTCCCTTTAAATAATTGGATTGTCTCTATCTACAAAGCACTTTGTTGCCATAGCAACACAAACATAATTGCATGGGTAAGTAATTGAGGGTGGCTCTACAAATCAAACTCCTCCTCACTAGACAACATGGAAAAATGTTTCTTACTCTTAAATGTCACTCACCTATAGTTTTGCTTCAAAGCCCAAGAAGTTTCTCAGATTTAAATGTGCTTTAGTAAATCTACAGATCAAGGGCATGGAGATAAATCATTAGTCAAGGAAAATGGTGATCTGAAATCCAGTTCAATATCTGTCACTAATTTGCTATGTAATTTAGCACAAGGCACAAATGTGTCCTAGATAGCCTCACATGTCCATCCTATTAAAAGGGAGACGAGTGAACAATATGTTTTCTAACAGCTCTGTTCCTACAGTGTTCCATGATATTCTGCACTGTCATTTAACAAAATTATTAAAGCAAATCTTTCTGGCATTAAACATCAACACAGCCCTTTCAATTTGGTATGGTTCATTTTCACGCCAATAAATGATTAATTCTAAATCTCTGTGTCAACCAATAATTTAGCTGGACTTTGATGATTCATAAGAAGTACGTGTTGTAATGTTGCCTCTCGAAACTGACATATACTAGCATTTGTTGTTTTTTATTGCTTCTCTGAGGTATTTTATTGAAAGAGTCACCAAGTGACGTTGTGTTTAGGAAAGGTTTAAAAGTCTGGCATAGTTTGAATCATCTTTACTTATCTTTACTAGTAGCTGAGCCAGGACTGGGAAATCTGTGATTCTTTGAGCTTGATCTTTGGGCAGCAAACTTAAAAATGTCTAATTCAACAAACTGCTCGGCTGTTGCAACAATTTGTGATGGTGCATCCTGTGTGGTGCCTGAGAGTGACCCCAACTACATTCTAAGTGTAGTTATGAGTACAGTTCTCACCATTATGTTGGCTTTGGTGATGTTCTCCATGGGCTGCAACGTAGAAGCCAAGAAATTCTTAGGGCACATACGGCGGCCATGGGGGATATTTGTCGGCTTCCTCTGCCAGTTTGGAATCATGCCTCTTACAGGATTCATCTTGTCAATAGCCTTTGATATCCTTCCCATCCAAGCTGTGGTGGTTCTCATCATAGGATGCTGTCCTGGAGGAACTTCTTCCAATATCTTGGCATATTGGGTTGATGGTGACATGGACTTGAGGTAAGCTATCTAAAAATCAAAATATTGCAATAAAATCTAGTTCATGTTTTAAGAAGCCTATGGAGATATAAATTTCCAATTGATCCATCATTAATTTAAAGTATCAGTCAGATACTAAAAAAACAAAAGATAAATGCTTTCTTCACCAACCCACACTGATGCTCAGCTATAGGAATTTAGGAGTTATATTATGTGTTTATGGGTTTTTTCTCATCTAACTTAGTTAACAGGGATATGGAAAATTTCTCTTTATCTCTGGGAAAAGATTCGAAGCTTTTCTAAGAGAAATCCTTTCCAAGCCACAAGTTGCAGCTAGGATCATTTTCTCTATTGGTATCAGCAGAAGTAAACCAAAACTTCATGGAGGGATAGAAAGCTCTGAATGCAGTCATTAACTGTCGGAATCTATGCTGTAATGATGTGCAACTCTTATTTTGGAGGGCAAGCTTTTTGTTTATATACAATCTAAATAAGAATTTTTGTATTTGTTTTACTTTCACTTTTCTTTAAAAAAGAAAAAGACCTTACAGCAGCATTTTATTTTTTTTAATTATGCTTATCTTACTATAAAATAAATGGAAAATGGTCTCTCTGCTTCCTATAGAGTAATCTAAATTACAGTGTTTGCCCAATTCATCCTGTGCCAGTCTCAACTAGCAAAGAGAAGAGAGGAGGGGAAACTAATAGAAATAAGATAAAGTATTAATGTGACAAGACTATGAATTTTAATGCTGTAAGTCGAATAGGCAAATGCCTTTTTCCTTACTTCACAATTCCTCATTTCCTGTGAAAGGTATGCATTTCTGCAAAACACCCAGGTGTTAATGTAACATGTGCTTATTAAATACTGTACAGTAGGCAATCAGCACCGTTAATCACCAGCTACTACAGTCAAAGAAAGAAGCTCAAAGCAGAGAAATGAAACCACTGCAAAATGCAAAACTGTATTCTGCTTTGATCAAATGCCTTCTGAGCAATTGGGAGCTGGATGCTCATCTCCTCTAGTGCTGATTTCACTAAAAGGTTTAGAAAGGTCATAAAATCTGGAAAGGTTTTTCCCAAGTTACTTATTTTTTATGTAAGAAAATACTCTTTTCCAACCAAAGTGCTTCTTGGAGGCAAAGATAGCAGAGCTTCATCTCTCATACTTTGGGCATGTTGCTAGGGAGAGGTTATTCCTTTGAAAGGGCAATCTTGTTTAGAAAGGTGGAGGGTTAGCAAAAGTGAGGAAGACTCTAATCAGATGGATAGACACAGTGACTATAGCGATGGACAAGTGTGTGAGATACAGTGAGGATGGCACAGGATAGGGCAGGTTCCCTGTTGTTCATAGGGTCACTGTGAGTCTTACTCAATGACACCTAACAACAACACTTGTTGTTAACTGCTGTCGAGTCGCGGGCGATTCATAGCGACCCTATGAAGGAGAGTCCTTGATGCTTGGGTGTCCTTTTATCCTCTCTCCAGGTTCAAAGGAAAAGATCTTTAAATAACAAAGAACTCCAAGTGTTTCTGTTGGTATTTTTAGTTGTCATCAAGTCAGTCCCAATTCATAGCAACTGTGAGTAAAACAGGAGTCCTGTGTTAGTCTAACAATTACTGTGATAAATAAATAAATACTGCCCATCTCTGCCTAACCTAAAAGAGGACCTTCCTCTTGTTTTGTTTTATCATCCTTCAAGTCTGATGCTTTTTCCAGGTCCTTCCTGATATCAAGTCCAATGTAGCTGAAATTAAGTATCACCATCTTCACTTTTTTTTTTTACTATTTCTGGCTACTGTAAATTTTTTTTTCAGAAACTGTGACAACAAATTGGAAGGAAACTATTCCAGGTCAATGACTCATTTTCTCTAAGAAATATTCTGGCCATAATTCTTCCAAGGCAGATTAATTTGTTCTGTTGTAAGCCTATGATACAGGCAATATTCTTCACCAATATTCTAATTCAAAGGCATAATTTCTGCTTTTGTGTTCTTTGTACATTTGCCAGCTTTCACATGCTTATCAGGTAAATGAAAATGTATGGCTTGGATCAGGTGCATGTTAGCCTGAAAATAGACATCATTGCTTTGTGATATTTCTTAGCAGATTTGGAAGTCTTTTAAGTTAATTTTCCCAGTTCAGTATGCTGTATGATTTTGGAGTGTTGTTTCCATGGATATTGAATGTGGATGCAAGTAAAATTGAATCTTTGACAACTTCAATCTTTTATCTGTTAATCATGATGTTTATTGGTCCATTTGTGAAGATTCTTCTGCTCTTTATCTTGAAGTGTAACCTCTAGTGAGTAGTCTTGGATCTTTATTACTTAGTGCTTCAAGTTCTCTAAGTTTTAGCAGGCAAAAATGCAGAAATTTTCAAAGAATATCATTAACATCACATGCAAATAAATTTTTTCTGAAAATAATTTTAAAATTATTGCAGCAATATATTTCCAGAAATTCAAGCAAAATGTAGAAAAGTGCATGAAACCAGGGTACCATTTCTGATATCATATAGATCTTGGCTAAAAGTAGAGAATACTAGGGAGATGCTAATTTGGGTTATACTACCTATGCAAAAGCATTTAATTCTGTGGATCATAATAAATTATGGATAATATTGAGAAGAAGGGAAATTCCAAAACACACACTTGTATTCATGCAGAACCTATGCGTGAACCAAGAAGCAGTTTTGCAAATAGAACAGGGGGAAATTGTTGTTATTGTTGTTGTTGTTGTTGTTGTTGTTGTTAGGTATTATTGAATCTAATATAAGTTGTAGTGACTGGGGGGAAAAAAGCAGAAAATGGGATATGGGGATACAGGTTCATAAGCATTTATCTAAAAGGTCCAGAGGGAGTGAGAATAATACAGCCTCTCATTGCCTCAGAGAAGAGAGCAGATAAAATGCCCATAGCCCAGCCTCATGGTGCCTCTACAGCCAAACCAGCTGCAAGAGGTTTTCTTATTAATCATTGACTCACAGACAATGCACATGGCTGTGATACCGAGAGTGAGGTTTATTAGGGGAGATACATTGGAGGCTAAGAGGAGGTAAATAATATCACCCAAAGAAAATCTATATTTTAGCCCAAAAGTCCCAAGGACTGTTCCTCAATTAGTTTAGGCTCTGGTTTCCATTCAGCAGACAGCTTTTCCTTCCATCATCCAGCAAGAACAGCAAAACCTTTAACTGTGGCCTTTATCTCAGGACTCCTTTAGTTATACCTTAGCATAGTTTCTCCACAGGAATGTCACAATCTCTCCACCACTATCACCAGGGTCTCACAACCGGGATCTCACTCTCACCAGAGTCTTGCTCTAGTTTCCCTCAAATCTTGCTTCCAATGTGGTAAGCACTCTCTCTTATTCTAGTCCCACAGCTGTTGATAAATTCAAGACCATCTATCTTCAGTTAAGGTAGATGAAGACCAAAGGGGGCTAATATAATGGCTAGAAAAGCCAGCTTTTAAGCTAACACTGCAACTACCCTATGAACAATCGGTATGAACCGTAACCTATCCAGTACTATCCTCACAATCTCTGACACACTCGAGCCTATTGCTGTGGTTTCTATGTCAATCCATTTTGTTAAAGGTCTTTCTCTTTTTCACCATCTCTTCACTTTCAGAAGATGTATTACACTAGGAAAGTCCATATTCAGAGACCTCTCCAAATTACTGATAAACCAACTACTGATACTAGTTTGAGGACTGAAGTGCACCTGATTCACACCATGGGTTTTAGTCACTTGATACACTGGGCCAATTGGCAGTACAGTGATAGTTGAAGAAGATATTGGGATTGTTAGCAATTTTGTCTTGCTCAGATCCACAATTAACACTCTTGGCACCAGCAGGTGAGGAAATCAAAAGACTTGATTGGGAAAATCTGTTGTTAGGGTCCTCTTCACAATGCTAAAGAGCAACAATGTTAGTCAAGAGATTAACGTGCATCTGATCCAGGCCATAGTCTTTGCAATTACTTGCTGTGCATCAGAGTTGGACAATGACTATGAATGACAGAAGAAACGTTGGTGACTTTGAGTTGTGGTGCTGGAGAAGAATATTGAACATACCATGTATTGCCAAGAGAACTAATGTCTGTCCTGGAAGGGGTGAAACCAGGTTGCTCCTTGGAGGCAAAGATTTTTAAATTCTGTCTCACATAATTTAGGTATGTGGACTGAAGAAACTAGTCCCTGGAGAAGGTCATCATGCTTCTAAGAGCAAGGGTCAGTGCAGATAAAGACCCTGGATGTGATGGATTGACACAGTAGCTATGGTAATGGGAGTAGGTGTGTCAGAGACAGAGAAATTGGCTCAGGATAGGGCAGGGTTCAGAGCTATTGTTCATAAGGTACCTATGTGTAGCAGTTGATTGACGGCACATTTCAACAATATAATGCTGTATGCTGGATGATGAAAAAGGATTATAGTAGAATTATTGATGCCCTTGAGTTGTGTGGTAGTAGAGAAGAATACTGATTATCCCTTGGACCCCTTAAAGAATAAGCAGAGTGTTACATGGAGACAAAGATGATGAAACTTCATCTCACATACTTTGGGCATGTTTTTAGGAGAGACTATTTTTGGAGAGGGGTGTAATATTTGGAAAGGTGAAGGGAATACTATATGGTTTAAAATCAGGAAAGTTGTGTATCAAGGTTGTATTCTTTCACGCGTCTGTGACTTGAGCAAATAATCAAAGATGCTATACTATATAAAAAAAGAATGTGGCATCCAAAATAGAGGAAAACTTATTATTAAGTGCTATTAGGTTTAGTTAATCAGTGAACCACAATATAGACAAAGACTTTTTAGACTTTCACTTAGCTTCACCTGAGTATAGACACACAGGAGTAGATCTTCTAAAAGTTAGTTCATGCTCAGTGAAGATGATTGAATACAATGAGGGGTTGTGCTACCCACCAAAAAGTTGTGCCTATTTACTGGCTTGAATCCACTAGTCGCTCCTCAGGAGAAAGACGATAAATCTCCTTCCCTGCAATTTACAGT